GATGGAAAACAAGGGCATTAGGCTGCAGTGAGGAAGAGTGAGGTTAGACAATAGAAAAAGCTTTTGAGCTATGTGGGTAGTGGGTTGTATGAACTGTCTACAAACATGGTAGGAATAACTTATCTGTACGTGATACTGCCATGTGGGTTTTCTGGAAGCCTTCCCATCCCTCTCGTACAGTTCTGTCCAGAACAGTGAGTATTTGGAGTGGAACAGATATGGAAAATACCTTACTATGGTATACCAGGAATTTAACGTTGTGAGGCCTGAAATGTATGAAAAGGTAGGCATGTTTTCATTCTTTCTTGCAGGTGCCTAACAGCAGCTGGAAACCACATACTTCCTCTTTTCTACACTTGGAGCCACTGGTTAGCTGTGTACCTCATTGCTATTCACAGGAAGTAAGCCAACTTTGCAGACTTCCTGCAGGAAGTTATGTAATTATACCTTCTACTTACTTGCCCAATACAGAAGGCAGTTTTACAGTGGTCATAGCAACCAAAATAGACAGGTAAAAATATGTTGCCTTCTATTTGCATGTCTAGTATTTTTAGTGCATGCATTACAGGATGTTTGGAAATGATAACTGTAATGACATGTTCTTACTTTTGATAGAAAATAATCTTTTTTTTTTTTTTTAAAGTCTTTGTATTGCTGTTACATTTGCAAGCACTGGTTACAGCTTTGACTACGTTGGAAGAATGAGAAAAAAAAAAAAGAGTATGCGTAATCTTGCATCAGTTACTGATTAACAGATGCCTAGTGCTGGAGAAGATGGCACTACAGCAACTGAGTATCAGCTATGTCCTGATGCTAGGATTTATGCTGAAATTTTACTAAGCTTTTTATTAAAACAGGGTTGTTTTTTGAGAAGCTGCAATCTATTGCAAGCCTTATTGCAGGTAGTTCCACCTGATGAGAATAATAACAGGTCTGAATCAGAATTTGTAGATTCCATAAGATTGCATTAAGAGTCCATAAAATTGCATCAAGTTTCCATAAGGATGTGGAACAAAGCCTAGCATAACAGTCTTCTCCTTTTGAAGTGGGATAAATGATTGATGTTTACAAGATCCCTGCAATGCTTTGTGCAGAAATAAATGTGGTTTTGGTTTTCAACAGGAAGCGCATTCACAGCCGGGAGACACTTGGACAAGTATTGCAAGAAGTGAGTGATACATTTTTAATTTCTGTTGTCCTAAAGGTGTTGCAGAGGCATCATTGAGGCTTATGTATTAACTAATATTGAGAGTCATGTACTAGTGGACTGGACTTTGAATGTTCTCATTTACTTGCTGCAAACTGATGATCAGCAAAGCAGTTAATCTTTGGTTTTTTGTTTCTCAGCCAGAAAAGTAGCATTTGTTAGCAGCTAACAAAATTTTGTCTTTTCATACCGCTCAGATGTATGGAAGTATGACTATTTTAAAGTCATTATTTACTCCCTCAAGTCATTCCCCAGTACTTGCCTCTGCTGTAACATCTGAGAGAAATTGGACTATTAGTGATGAGTAGGTGGTTGAACTTGACTTTTACATTTGCTTTCAAGAGCGTAAACACTCTTTATGCAGTTGGATGTAATTTGATATATTCATTCTTGGTGTCACTATAGATCTGCTAGCTTTATGTATCGTGTCCTTCCTCCATCTGATAGGATTTGATATTAATTTGGGATCCTACATATAGCAATTTTGAAATTCTAGTGGTGTTATAATGTTGTAAAGACTTAAGAAAACACAGCAAAAAGAGAAGAAAAGCAGACAGACAATCCAAAGATTAGCTTTCACTACTCTGGAGTTTCATTTTTTATTTTTTTCCTCACAGCCAGCCCATATAGCATCCTACCGTTACAATCCTTCTTGGTCCGTGAGCCATTCTGATCAAGTTAACGCTACCTATTTAATATTTTGGTATTGCGTTTTGCTTAATTAGATGTGCATGTAATATTGAAGGGTTGGATGTGAATGCTGACTACCTAATACTTAGGATCTTTTTACTGGGTGGAGAGGAGAACTTTGAATGCATTATTTTAACAAGTGTTTAAAGACACCTAATTTGGTTGGTGGATCAAAGCATGCCCTTGATAATACTCTGCTTATTAGGCAAGAGCAAGACCATCTAGATACTTGGCTCTTTCCCTTTCAGGTTTTAATAAAAACAAAACAAAAATCTTAGGAAAAGCTCTTCACCCAAGACTAGAACTGGTTTACTAATTTTCTTAATCTAGGTCATATTGACCAATGATTACATTTTGTCCTTAAAACCACATAAGCAGTACGGATTGTGTGTGCTTCACAAAAATGGGCGAAGACCTGTATGTACTTTCCTCATGGAGCTTTTCATTTTAATATTTAGGAGCTGAAGTATGTAACAAAATCCTTTTATTGCTCTTGTTTTGGAAACAAAACATTGCAAGGCCATTATTACAGAGGGAATATATTCAAAGATGCTTTTCTTATGATATTCCATGAAACTGGTTTGACTTGGGCAAAGAGTGCTCCCTCACATCAAGGGAACAAACAGTTTAGGTTCTTCAGGAATTGAAAACTTGAAGAATTTGGAAATGGCAGTTATAGTTTTCTTATCAGTGGAAAAAATTAATGTCTGAATCTAATCTTCAACAGCATAGACTTTTCTAAAGACTGGACTTTAAATCATTCAGTGCTTTCAGGGATTTAACCTCTGAAGGATCTAGGCAGTCTGCCTTATTGAGAAGTTGGGTTAGTGATTTCTAAGGGGTGCATCACAGCAGAGCTGAATGTCTGTATTTTTCTAAAAGTTTGTCTATGTGTGTTCTAATTACTGAAGTGATGGGATTTATGAGTTTTAGGGTTTTTTAAGGTGTTTCACAGGAAAAGCTTGCATTTTGTCCTTAATTTCTAAATCTTTCTTTTCTCTGATTTACTTTAATTCCTTATGAATTTCTTCTCTTTCTTGACAACGAAGTTAACTCATGAAATAGCTTTTTTTTCATTGTTCATTTTCTTTCAGATTTCGTTTACAACTGTGATGAAAAGGTAATCTAGAATTCTCACACTGTCATTTCGAGAAACATCGGAAAGCCGAGGAATGCCTCACCTCTTGCTGTTTTGAGTTTTAAATGGAATAAAAAGAAGATACACTTAGCCCAGCTGTTTTTCCACTGGTACCAACTGTCAGGCCTGTGACTTCTTTGTAAAAATACCTCCTTAATCATGTATGCTCTGAACATTTGTTCTTCCCATGTTTTTTAGAACCAGCATTGTACAGCAAATCATAAGGTACCTCAGTTCTTCAGAAATACAGGTGAAGAATATGTGCATGTTTTAACCCAAGCTACAGTTTCGGAAGAAAACCAGAAAACATATGTGCATAATGAAATAGTATTTTGGGGGGAGGAAAAAAAAAATCAAGCTTACAGAATAACTACAGGAGACCAAAGGGATAAATATAGAGGAAAGAAACTGGAGTCTTTTTTTCAGGTAGGACATACCTCAAGAACCATCAAAATACACTGGAGTAGAGAAAGTCCAAGCTTGTATTCTACACTGCCAGTCATGCTGCTGAGCACTTTATCATGGGCCCTTTATTGAACCATGCAAATGGTGGGTTGAAAAGAAAGATTTTTTTTTTTTTTTGGCGAGTATTTCTTTAATGAACACCACAAAGGAAAAAGATAAGACTTGAAAACTTTTATTTATGAACTATCATGTCAGACTGATTTTGTAAATCTGTAAGAATGTGTTTTATGCGAGATCTGCCCTCACTGTAAGAAATATGAAGTTTAAGAGATTTTTCTTAATTTATGTTTGAAAGTATTTCTTATTCAAGGAGGATTTTTTAGATGTTATATTTTCCTCAATAAAAATGGAGTAATGTTGAAAGTTTTACAATGTCTTTTATTAAAAAGCTGAAAACTGTCAATGAAGTCAAGTCTGCATTTGTTCTGCAGTAGCAAACTTTACAGCGTGTTATAGAGCCTTGGGGTTTTCACCAAATGGAAGGAAATAATTGGAAATATTTGAGAGGAGAATCAAGTCTTCCATTGGTTTTATGTCTGAGGACTGTGTAATATTCTACTTCTGCTTTTAACTACATCCTGCCACAATTTATGCTTGCTCCTGCTGAAATTTGAAAATTGAAAGTATCTAGGATGCTTGCAGCTGAATTTTAAGTGGTCAAAACTTTCCACATCTGTTGTGGAATGATGAGACAACAAAAGAAAACACCATGAGTAATAAATCTCTACTGTGCCTGCTTTAACAAATGTTGGCATCTTTGTTTATTTTCTTAATTTCCTTTCCCTTCAAACAGGAAATTATTCGATTATATAATAGTGTTTCTAAACAGAAGAAAGAAAGGTTCCTGAAAGCACCTGGATCCGAGAGTTGTGATAAAATAGGAATCAAATACTGAGGAAGTAAAGAAAAAAGGTGTAATGATTTCTAAATGCACTATGATTATAAGAGGCGTATGTGAAGTTTATACTACAATATATAATGCTTTTTGGGAGTGTGAAAGGAAAAGGAATCAACACTGTGTGTATACACTGTTATCTTCTGCAAAAGACCTTCTGTGAACACAGAGGTGTAACTGCATACTGAAGAAAATTTTTCTTTTATTCAGGCACCCTTGCTGCATCAGAACAGTTGTGCCATTTTAAGAATGTGATACCTGACTGAGCACATATGCAGGAAGCTCTGCTTGATACAGGTCACTTCTCTAAAATCCTGCATTTAATTCGTTGCTACTGTGAGTGTGAAAATACATTTTTTTGGTAACATATTATTGTGTACTTTTATATGCCTAAGATGTGATTATATGAGCTTTGGCAAGTATGCTTATTTTAATTTCTCAAGCTCAACTATATGAGGTCAGACCTCCTAAATAAAAACACTTTATATTAATTTGCTCTTCTGAGCTACCTACATATGAATACAATTGAGATAGTGATACGTGTTTTTAAAGTATCTGCAGTTATCAACTGGTTGAAGTCCCTCTGCATTGTAGTATGTTGCAGACTAGCGTGGAATAGCACAGAGCTTATATGGATGTGGCTGCAGTATTGCACCCAAAATGTACTCCAAATTGATTTCCTTTACTCCCTCAGGGAGCTGGAATGTGAATGCCCGAAGTAGGTTGGTAAAGATGATGAACAGTTCAACTCGTGCCATCTGTTCCCCCAAACATACACGGTGCCCTGCAGAAGAAAGGGAAAAAGGGTTAGTTGTATAAAGTTAAGTTCTGAAAAAGAACTTCAAACAAAATTCTACTGAGTTCTATAAATTCTGTTAATGTAAGAGAATTATTTCTTATTTCCTTCTATAAGGACAGAAGATGCCTTTGGAGGTGAGGGGAAAATGTTTATTTAACTGAGAAACTGTACATCTCTCTGTCAACTGTTCAATTTGGTTTTTTGGGTTTGTTTTGTTTTGTTTTTTTTCCCCCTGGAGCATTTATGAGATTCTCCCTTTCCATTTTTGCTTCTTGTTCCGTGAGAACCATGAATTGTTTCTCACTTAAGCCAGATTTTAAAAGGCTTTATATACTTCAGAGTCTTATCTTTGGTTGTTGAGGAGGGAGGATTGGAACATTGCAGGATGTGATTCTGAAGCCAAGTAGAAGGGTGTAATCAGGCTTTCTTCAACAGAAATTATGAAGGCTATATTGGGTCCTTGTAGTCCACTATCAGATCTATAAGCTAAGGGAATGAAACATAGGTATGTGCAGTGATGTATAGACTCAGTGACTCATTTTGGCGTATTGTTTTCACAGTATATTTCAGGATATCTATATATTCCAGACCAAAAAAAAAAAAAAAAAAATTCAGGATATATAAATACTCAGATTATATAAACAGAAAACAACAAAAGCAAGTTAAAAAAGAAAACTTCCTGTGCCTGGGTTGAAATGGTAGCCTAAATTAGTTGTCTTGATTCATGTAAACTAGTGGACATTTGGTGAGTAAAGGAGGCAAGATGCTAAGTACCTGTTTTGCAAATATGATTTTAGGATTTGCAGGCAATTTGGGCAAATGGTTCTAAAATCTGGATTTACTATGTTTAATCTGCTTTGTATGTTACTGTTTGCTTTTTATCTACAACAATTGTATAATAGTATAATCTGTCACAGTAATATAAAAAAACCTCAGCTATTTCATTTTTACTTTTTATATTTTTAACTTTTAGTAAATAATGCCAGCTTCCTGTTTTGTGCTACTTTTCTTCATAACCTGTTTATTGGAGAAAGTGGTAGACTAGTGAAGCTCTCCGAGTTATGTTTTATACTGCTTTTCACTCCTCCCCCCCGCCCCGCCATGTATTCAAATTGCTGCATTTTGCATTGTAGATTAGGTAAGTTGTACGTCATAATATGCTTTTGAAAAGCTAGATTTTTTTTTTTCGTTGCCTACTAATATTCTACTGAAAAGAGTGGATTTTGCTAGTTTTCTGGAGATACAAGAGAACCTGTGCTAGACTATTAGCGTAGGATTTGGGAGACTGAGGCTAGCTTTCCTGCTTTATCACAGATTTTCTCTGTATATTTTGAAAAATCATATTACTTTTTGTCTTTGGGTTTCCTGTTCTTAAGGTGAGAATAAATCAATTCTCTGATTTGAGGGTGTTACCAGGATTTAATACATTAGGGACTAAGGAGCTCATATAGCATTATAGTAGGAACCATACATCCACCAAGGAGATAGCATTAGGTCTCTTAGACATACTCATACTCTGTTTGAATGTATGAAAAATATAAAATGCAAGACAATAATAGTGGCTTTTACAGTAGAACACCTGACTTTAAATCTTTGTGTCAAATACGTTTTTATAAAAGTATGTTTTTAAAATTTTAGAATTTAGAAATAGTGTTTTTAGTCTTGCCACAAGGCACAGTGAACAGGAATATTCAAATGTTAGGGCATTACCTGCTGAGAAAGGTAAGAATGCCTCTTTGTTCACAAAGTTGCCATCGAAATCAAGGAAATGATTTGGGTTGAACTTCCCAGGGGTCGCCCAGTGCTCAGAGTCGTACACTACGGAGTGCAGATTTGGCAGTACAAGTGTGCCCTGCAACAAGAAGCAGAGATTATATTTTCCATGTATGACTGATTCTTTTTTTGGACTTCTCTCTAACAGATAATATGCCATCCTATGCCTACAGCCCAGTGTTTGGATTCAACTTGGTCTTTTCCTGTGTGCATCCAGGCATAACAAACCCTTGTATCTTCTCTTTGTGATAACGTATTATGTGTTTGCCTTTGTATAAGTTATCTTCTGTCAGGATTACTGAAGTGTCTTCATGTCTAAGCTAGAGTGGAGCTTGGATTGTTTTACATACTTGCCAGACTACTCATAACACCTTCCTTTTTGTTTTTTGTACTCTTCACTGGGTCTTTCAATTCCATCACATCAATCTTAGGCTTAATATATTTTTGACATTTATATTGTGCCAATGTGACTGTTGGATCTCTCACTGTACTGAGCTGCCATCGTCTTAAGTGTGTGGGTTTTTTGTGTGTGTGTGTGTGTGTGTTCGTTTTGTTAGGGATGACTATAGGTTGTTCCAGGCTGCTCCCTTACGTGTGAAAGTTAGCTGGCTTGACATTCATTAAACCTAATTTCTTCATTGTTCCTTAAAACACATGTTCTGCTTTGATGGCCAGACATTATCTGTATTTGACTAGTGGGAAGAAAGACTTCAGTTTTCCTTATGTTTGCTACTTGTGCTATTAGCCTTTTCCAAAGCTTTCTTCTGCCTCTGCTAATGTAGACTTAGCCCTGGTTCAGAGCACTCAGCTTTGTTTCATGTCTGCAACATGATACCACATGGTCTCCATGCAAAGTTAGGAACTGTAGAAGTTAATGTCATATAAATACTAAATACTAATAGCTCAAAACTTTAAGAAACATGGAGGTATACTCTGTACCTTTTTAACGTGAAAACCCAGCAAAGTTGTATTCTTCACGCATTGTCGAGGGACCCCAACAGAAGTAACATTGCTGTACCGCAAAGCCTCATGAATCACAGCATTTGTATATGGCAGTTTTTTACGGTCTTCATAGCTGATGATATGGGAGGGTTCCAGAACAGCCTCTATCTCTCTTTGAACCTTTTCTGCAGAGAAATGAAAATATTTTAACTTTTTCCCCCTTTTCTTCCAGCAGGTTTCTGTATAAGTATGGTCTAGGACTGGGAAAAAAAGAAATTACGTTGCTATGAAATGCGTTGGTGTGTGGTTTGACTGCTGTATTGGTTTCAGTTGATCAAGAAAGTGCATATCCCCAAAGCACAAGGTGATCTGTCATTTAAGACACATCCTGCTTGGTGATGAGGATAATACAATGCTATGTTTCAAAAAAAAAAAAAAAAAGATTAAAATTTGAAATAACAGATGTAATTTGTATCTTTTAAAGCTTTTCCACTTTGAAGGTTAGGAAGAGACTAGGTTGCATGAAATATCTTCAGCTTGTTATTCTGTCTTTGCCATCCCCTTCTAGTGAGATAAAACAGTGGCTACTACTAATTTCTGCTAGTGTTGCTTCTTAGTGAACTGGTGGGGAAAGCACGTTTGTTTCACTTCTTAAACTTTCATTTTCTAGATATCAGTTGTTGATGTACCACCATTCATATTAATTGTTAAGGGTTGTTTTGATGTATTGCAAGTGACTGAGCTAATACTTACACTTTAATGATGTTTGTTATGATGTAATGTTGAATGCAGTTCTCTGATAATGCTTTTGCTCACCTTGTATTTCTGGGTATTGTACCATATAGAGTAGTGCCCACAGAAGGGTGGTACTTGTTGTTTCTGTCCCTCCCAGCAAAAGATCAACCACAGTCTGAACCATATTTTCTTTATTAAATGTAGAAGTGGGGTCATCTTTGGTCTGTAGGGTACATTCACAGGAAGACTATGAAGTGGATAATTTCAGACATGTCATTGTTTGATGAAAACAGTGAGCAACGTGCCAAAACAAAAATCTTCAGTGCTAAACAACTAAAGTATGCCTAAAAAAAATTCCATAGCAGTTACTTGAACAGCAAGTATTTGTAGCAGGCATGGAGGCCGAGGAGGGGATAGTGTGATAAACAGGTACTTACCTTTGTTATTTGAGCTAGGTAGAAGTCAATGAGATCCTGTGGATCACTTGCATTCTGTCTCTCATGAGTTTGGACCTCCTTTATGACTAAATTGTGCATGAAGTTGTTGTATGCAAACACTTTCTGATGAGGTCCTGGGAGACAGTGCATAAGCCATGGAAAAGCATCATACATCTGTGATTTTAAACAGAAAGGAAGAAACATGAGCTCTTTTAAATTGAGAACCTGATTCTCATTTCCTGAGAACTCTGTGAAGTCACTGCAACACATGGCTCCTAATTAGGATGAGAGGCAATAGACACAAGTCAGAGAGATATTAAATCCTGGGAACAGGCTTCCCAGAGAATCTGTGTGAAATCTCTATTCTTGGAGACTTCAAAACTTGACCAGCCAAGTCCCTAAACAACCTGACCTAATTAGGCCTGCTTTGAGCACGGAGTTGGATTAGCTGACATGCGGAGGTATCTTCCAAAGTAAATTCTTCTACATTTCTGAGAGGGATTATGAAACCTTTACATTGCCCTCTAAGTGAACTGGCATTGAGGAAAACTCATCTGATATTTGTTGATGAGCTATTAGTACTATGCAGTGGTCTAAATTGTTATGATCAAGTTGTCAATATTTAATAACCACACTTTCTATCCTTAGTAGATAGGTTGAAGACTGAAAAGGTATAGAAGCTGACTTGACCTCTCAGTCTTTGAAGGCTTTTCTCCAGTAGAGACTGGCATGTGTATTTGTTGAGGGGAAATATAATTATTTAAATTTCTTTGTATTGTGTATGTTTTGTGAATGGACTTCAGTCTCTAGGACTACTGACAGAGTATTTTATTTATGGCCTTTGATTAGGAATCTATTGGCCAGTGCAGACAACTTCTTCTACATCAGCTGACCAAAATGTCAATATCATTTAATAGTGGATATCAGGTCACAGGAGAGCAGGAGAATGATTATGTTTTACTTTTTGGATGCATACCTAATAATGCAACAGGGGCTTCTGGAAAGGGGTGAATCAGAGTAATTGAGGGCTGAATCTGGCTCACAAGCAGATTTTCTCAACCTTGATTTTTACTCTGGTTTTTTTTTTTTTTTTTTTTAAGGCATCTCTGTATGAAAGTATTGGAGAACCTGATAGTGTTATAGAATGCCAGTGTGCCAAAATCTGCACAACATAAGAAACAGCTAGGCTTTCAAGGACTTAAAAATATTATTGATATGATGAAATTGTCACCTGTATCTTATACGAAGTTCAGAATAACTCAGATCTTGGTGGTAAAATGAATTACATGAGAAGCAAGATATCTTCTCAGAAGAATAGGACTTTGAAGGCTTAGTTCTTATTAACCACACTTATGTATTTTCAAGACTAAATGAAAATTAGATTTTAGAAGTTGCTTTGATTTTAAGATATAAGAATCTTATGTATACAGCACTCTGCAAACGATTACTCATTTGAAATACATTATATATTTTAGAAATGTGAAGACCAGTTGTGATCTAGAATTTAAATTTTAGGATGTGTGATTTACTGACATGAAGAAGGAATGTAAGGCAGTAATGACATATACCAGGTATGTATTAATTTATTACTGCACAATGGCTCACAGAACAATGGTATGGATATGTTTGGGAATAATCATCACTGACCTTTAATTTGCTTGTTTTGACTTGTGAAGTGCAAATGCACTTTAAGGAATAAGAACAGGAAAATTAGATTCTTACCCTGCCCCAGATGGTAGCTTGAAAGTAGATCACAAAATAAACAGCTTTGATAAGCTTGCTGAAAGATTCATCCTCACTAGAGAAGCGATGACCAAAAACAACAGCACAAATTATATTCGCAATAGCATGGACAATGAAAGTGTGGGGGTCAAAAGGTTTGCCTGTGAATATAGAAGGTACCAGGAATATTTCTGAATAGACTACAGTGAGAAAAATGAGGAAGAGGAAGACTTTTTTTAAAATGGTAAAAATAATAGTAGATCAGACTACTTTTAGATAAATTTCACACAAGTAAACTCTAGTTTAATACAAATTAGCTGTATGGATTGGAAGTGCAGGGAATCTTTATTTTCAATCTGCTTTTTACTCCTGTAAAATATAGTGATTATTGTTTTTGAGCAGATAAACATTACATCTCTTTTCCTCTCTTTGACTTGTGGTCTGGGTTGTGTGAAAATACAAGCAATTAATTAGAACATATCCCTTCAAATCTGGAGGCAGATATTTAAGTTTGACAATTAAAAAACAAAACAAACAATCCTCCCCCCAAAAACAGGAAAAAAAAAAATTTAAAGTTTTAATTTATTAGTCATGTTGACATGACTTGTCTCCTTTTGGTTTTCAAGTACAGCTTAACAATTCAACTATATATTCCCCGCCCCCGACTGAAAAGGCAAAACTCACATCATGGGCTGGAAAACGGCTCCCATTAAAAAGGGTTAGAGCCAGAAAAAATTAAATTAGGTACACATTTCAATGGCAAGGACAACCTTTGAATTATACTACTATGGAAAATGGTGGATTATGCATTTCTGACTTAAGTCCAATGTGTGTAGTTCTTCTTGGAAAGAGTAAATACAATTATTGAGTTTAAAATTGAGGAAGGATTGCATAGAAGGTAAAGATTTGGGCTGTACAGGAACTCAGAGTTTGTTCATCTCTTACATTTTAAAGATCTGTGAATATGTTGCTCTCGGAAGAGAGATGGGCCATTTTGCTGTGTCTAGTGCAAGGAGAGTTGGAGGGACACCTTAGGCAACTTCTCTGTGTTTTCACATCAGTGTGGAACACAATGTGGGTGAGGGATTTGGCAGTTCGGAATATTTATATTTAATTGCTTTATTTTGGCATCTTGCTAAAATTCTATTGGTTTCTATTTCATCCAAACCATAAAAAGTTTTGTTGGACAACTGGATGATACATTCCTTGTGTTGGGGTTCTTTCTCTGCCAAATCCTAAAGGCCTGCTGTCCTAGAACGACTCACAGCAGGTCACAAACTGTGTATTTTATGGAGAAGAACATAGGGCTTTTCTATACTTCTTGAATGTAAGAATTGTTACCAGCTGTCCCCAAGACTGTGTTGATGATTAACATTTTTTTACTATTCTTATTTCAAAAAACAATGTTATATTGACCACTGTGCAGACAAAACATTTTTGTGAAGAATGCAATTAAGAAGCCAGTAGAAGTCCCACTAATATGAAAAATACCTATATTACTTGTAAAAATGTATTGTGAAACTTTTACTCCCCTAATCTACTATATTTCAGAAAAAGCTCTAAGTGTTATTCTTCTAGTGAATTTACCTTTTGTGTTTGCGAAGATGTCCACAAGATGACAGGCCTCTGTTTGAATTTGATGCTCTAAATTATTCTTACCAAGTGCCAGGCTTCTTATAATTGTCATGCCAAAGCGTCTCTGTTGCTTCCAGGTGTGTCCGCTTGTCAAAAAAATACCTGATGAACACAGAAATGTTTATTTTATTGCTGGGAAGGGAAATCCTTTCACTGCAGGATACAAAATTCAATTTAAATTAGGTTATGTTTCACTTACAAAGAAGATACTGTGATTTCAGATACCGACTTTTGGTCTCTAACTTAGGTTTTTATAACTCCCAGCTATATAGCTGCTTATAAATGTGACCCTGGAAACTGAGTGGTCGTGGGCTTTGGTAAGGACAGAACAGCTTTGTCTATAGATGTCACCTATGTGAACAGTCTGCTGTTTTAGAAGTGATAAAACTGAAGGGCAACTCCTCTAGGCAAATGTTCCTTTGAATCTATTGGGAAGAAAAAACATCAGTAGTATCCTTTAAGATGAGAAATTTTTGGTTTTTGCTTTTCTTAATACGCTAGCTCTGCATGGTACCCTTTTGCTATGTAAGGCCAGTTATGTACTTGTATAGCGGTAACTCACGGGTGTGTGTGTACATATAGGAAAGTGTCTGTCTTTGTGTCTTGTTCATATTTCAGTATTGTAGCATCTTGTACCTTTCTCGCCCATCATATCCCTGTAGAATGGAGTGAGAGGTCGTCCTGAAATTTCCTCTGAATGGGTGATGATGCCATCTTTTACTGCTTTGTATCCATTTAGTACAACCATAGGTGTCTGTCCCATCCACAATGTGTAGATATTTCCATAGATGTTGGTTAACTGAAGAGTTAATAACAGTAAATTAATAAATGTAAACCAGGGAATGCATACACTTAAATACTAATTTTGAGAGTTCTGTAGTTGTAACTGAAGCTGTTTGCCGACATCAAATTGAGTTATAGATTTCAGAAAAATTTAGCCTTCTGTTGTGATGTGCTTTGGGAACAGAATATAATCGTACTTTATGGAATAGATACTAAGGACAACTCTCAGAAGACTGCCTCTGAAAATTTCACAGAAAGAGAAACAGAGGGCTTGTCTGTCAGCTCAGAATCAAACAACAAATGAATACAGGCAAAAATCCCAGACCTTTTCCATTTATTTTATTAATGAACCACAATTATTGTATTTTCTTGCCTCTAACTTCTGAAGAAAGCAATGTTTTTGCATTCTTTCCTATAGCTTCTATGTGATTTTAAATTTTTTTCTATTGTCTTTCCTCAGATCATGCTTGTATTTTTCCTTAAAATAGTTTGAAGCAAGTTCCTTACTTTTTTAAAAATAGTTTTAATTGGTTTATAAAGGAATCATGCTGTGAACATTAATGGCAGTCAAATTTTCCTGCTTTGTTTTAGTAATAATCTGTTAACTGCAGACAATAAATCTTTTTGCTGTACAAATAAGAAAAAAAGAGTCAGTTTAGAGTATACACTTGGTCTGCTAATGGAGATCAGACCACTCGTGGCCTGGACATTGGGGTCAGGCAAAGGAAGTTCTGCTAGATGTGGTTTACAAGGCTAGATATCAACACAGAAATAGAGAATGAAACTGTCAATGGAATATCATGCTATTGACAGTGCTTGTGATAATGTTATGCATGGATGTGACTGTATCCAAAAGAGAAAGAAAATAACAGGGAGTAAAGCAATTATGGTGTTTATTACTCAGAAATATTTTTAATAATGCAGAGTCCTTGGATTCTTTGAAATTAGCTGATAATCAAGCTTGAGGTTTAAAAATAATAATTCCAAGTTTAGACTGTTCCTATGCAATGTACAATTTAAGTTAAAATAGATTCAGATTGATTTTTTCCACCATAGAGATAAATAAATACCTTAGTGAGAGTTTCTCGATGAAGTTTGAAGTCCAGCAGCCACAAATTTCCAATGATGGGTAGGGGAGCTGGTCCTGGAGGAAGCTGGGTACGCATCTGTTGCAGCTTTAGGAACTGCAGAATCAGGAGACATACTACTAAAGCTATAAAAAACTCAGCAATCCCCAACATCTTATCAAAATTTTAGCTTCTCGCTGTTTTGTTGGGTTTTGGGTTTTTTTGCATATGACTTCCTCTGAAAATTTGGAGTTGTGTAGATCAGTTTGCTTCTACTGAAATCAAACTCTTTCTCGAGAATATATGTCTGCTTTAGCCATCTCTCTCTCTCTCTCTCTGACAATCTACAGTTCTCCCAAGCTGAAGTCCTTAGAAAACTGAAATATGTGATCCTTTGCAGTTAGCCAAGCCACGCCTACTCTCTTTTATGATCTGTAATTGTGATCTGTCTCTTTTACTTAGAATTTTATTTCCTTCTTAGTATTGATACTGGGTCTAAATGCTAATTATTGAATAGTTATCCAAGGATATCAAGTGTCTTGCAGAATGGTAACACCTCATGCAGTTCCCTGTGGTTAAACGTTAAAATACCAAGGATGCACTACTTTACTACCTTTCTGAAATACTACAATTATTATGTGGTTTCTTTTATAGAAGGAGAAACATCTACACAATAACTGTCTGTTAGGATATAGTCTCTGAGATGAAAAAGAATTGAATTCATGCAGCATAAAGCTAAATTAATGTGGGGGGTTTTGTGTTTGTTTTTTTTTTTTTAAAGTGCAACTTAAGTATTAGGAGAATATCTACTTTCCCCTTTTATCATATTCTAGGTTAAGTTATGATATTGTGTGGAACACAACTGAGATATTATTGTTCTGTCCAGTGGGTTGTACGGTGTTTTCTAAATTTTATTTTATTTTTTATGCTAAGGATTAAAATTTCCTGGTGCAAATTTTGGAGGTGAAAAAATGCACAGGTTCTATTTTATCCGTGAAAAAGAACAAATAAACTGAAGAAAGAGGCAAAACTTTTACTCTTTTATTGATTGGGGGACCCCATAAACTTTCCAGGAGAAGTTTATACCAACGTGTAGCAAATCTTAACTTAAGAGTCTTACTTTTCTTATGTGTTATTCACTGACTTTGATGTAATCTATGGACTACAGTAGATTGCTTTGAAAGTTTTGAGAATCTCCACCACTGGAAAGCAAACAGAAATGGAATAATTCTGCTGTTTTGGGACAAGGTGATGGATTTAGGTATTCCCTTCAGTCTCCTTTCAGATAATTTTTTTTTATTATTATTCATTTGGGATAGGATTTCAGACCTCATCTCCCATTTTATCTACTACTGTTGGGATGGCAAAATCTGTTTTCTCTTGAAGTTGCTTCTACTCCTTGCTTTTTCAGCCCCTAGGCAATGTAGAAATTGGAGACCCTGCTGATTTAGAAGTGCCAAAGCAAGTTGCAGTAGTGAACCTTGTGATGACTTACGGTGCCCTGTCTGCTAAGTGACTTGTCAGGAACCACCTCCTTTGGAATTTAGGAGGCAAAGGAAGGAAGATGTATGACTCTCAAACTTATGTGGGACTTCCCAGGCTGAGTCATATTAGTGTGTATGGTTCTTCAGACTTTGGCCCTAAATACTATCTTTTAGCTGAACATAAGCCTTAGCTACAGTAGTTTACGTCTGTCATACTGTGACTGTATAACAGCTTTCTTTATCTCTTGGTGATTTGGTGCCCTGTGGATCTCTGTATGAAGTCTTACTTCGTATAGTTGGGGGAAGAGTTAAGAAGAACAATATAGAGCCATTTCCACAGACAGATTCATAGCAGTTTTCTCAGTGGTAGAGTAGTTTGGAGATGTGAAATGATGATAAGTGTAATTCTCATTTCCCTGGTTTTGTTTCTTCTGGGTGTGCAGTTCCTGAAATTGCAATGGAAAAGTTGTGGGTTTCTTCCTGGACCAACCCTATTTCCCATCGTTGGAAGCATCTGGAGGATAAATTTTAGAACTGATCAACTGAAAGAGGTATGCATTTGCAGATGCGAACTAAAGAGCTGTTGAGGCACAAACTGTAAAAACTATTGATGGCTGTTGATAGGCTAATGTGGTAGCAGGGAGAACTTAACCCTGAGGGAAGGTGAATCATGGAAGTTAAATAAAGTGCCTAAACAAGTTAAGTAAAATCTGCAGACAGTCTAATTCATGTGAAAGCTAATACGTGTGCAAGTTAAACAGAACTGAGGACAGTAATTTTGCCTCAAAAAAGACTTCTGTTTTTAAGGGAGGCTTTTTGCCTTGAAAGAAAAAAGTGTTTCTCACATTTTCCACCACAGGCACATACAGAAAATCATCTAAAACAAGGTGTCTTGAATTCAGAAGATGTGAAAAGCACACCAGTATGTCTTCTGCTATCATGGGATGGAAACAAGATTGTATGCCATATGCAGCCAAAACCTTAGCTCCATTGTTTTTCTGAAGTCCAGTCTGGGAATTGCTCCTTGCAGATGAGCTAAGGATATAAATGATGGCAAAAGGAAGGAACTGATGGGAAGAATTAGATCCATGCTAAGCATGTTAATACAGGTTCTTTCAGTGCTCAACATCCTACACTGAGCCAAAACTTCACGAAAGAATCCAATGTGTTGATATATTTTTCAAGTCGCAACCTCTCCTTAGGTGCTAAGTGTAACCTGCATGTCAGGGGGTAGTTGGCTGCAGCTGGAGAATGTTGGCTTCAGGAAAAGGGAACTTAAAACACCTTAATGTTAAACTTTTCTGATGGATACATGTTCATCCCTGTGGGAGAACAAGCTGTACTGTGTTTTTGCCTGGAGTCAGGGACTTTGTCCTTGCTGAATACCCACAGGGTTGCCTGAGAGCAGTCCCCATCACTAGCCAAGCAGAGATGGGATCTATGCTCAGATGCCTCAGTTGATAGTACTTCTTTATAAGAGGGGAAGAGGTCGTGCCATTAAAACTTGAAATTTGCAGTACTAGAAGGAGAGTTACACCTGGAATATGTAACTTCAAGAAGGTCTAGTTGTTGGCTGAGGAGATGAAATATGGGGTTGAAAAATGTAATCAAGAATGGGCAGGTGAAGTTTCATGTGAAACCTAATATGGATCTGTAAACACTTAGTCAGGGGCACTTTCCTAATCATTAATATTGCAAAGGCAACCCAAGCCAAGTTTAAAAAAGGGAAGAACATCTATTCTTTTATCATTCACATTGCTGTGAATAGTGGGTTCCCAGAGCAAGCCCAGAACCTTACTGTGGGAAGCACTCTCACTGCAAAACAAAATCACAGTCCCTTTTCACTTCCTGAACCCCTGAGTAATGTCATGCTGGAAGAGAGCAGCCCATTATGTGTGCATTTTGGCTGATGTTTCTCCCATGGGTATTTTTTTGGCATTGATCTAACCTACAGCTGGCAAAAACCTATGGCAACATCTGTACCCTGTGGCTGGGTCACAAACCTATGGTGATGCTGTATGGATTCCACTCTGTGAAGGACAGTCTTGCCACCAGCTCAGAGGATGTTTCCAGGCGACTACAGACCTATGTCTTCAACAGAATGGCAAATGGAAAGGGTAAGATGTTCATATCTGTGGAAGGACTTCGTCCTTGACTTCCTTTGTTTCCTTTCATGTTTTCTTTACTGACAAGCCCTTAGTTCCCAATTCACCCATTCTGTCTGCTCAGGGTGAATGATATAATTCTGCAGCATTACTCTAAGTTGTCTACGAAGTCCTACTGTCACACATGTATTTCAGAATCTCATCAGAGCAGCAATATTTGTACCTATCTAGGTCTTGCTTGTCCATTCGTAGTGTTGTCTAAGTTTGTGTCCTGATTTGAAATAATCTGGAGCTTGCAGCCTCTTCTGCAAGCTGAGGCTAAAGTAGTTCTTTATGCTCCCAGTTGTTTATTTACAGCAAAGGCTGCTGTAAGGAAAGCATGTACCGAGCTGTTGAATAAGGTCTAGCCTTTTGGCAAGTCCGAAGGCACAGGAAGGTCACTGGAGCTTTAAATCTATTAGCCAGACTGTAGGTGCAACATAACCTTGTTCAGAGCTTCTTATTTTGCTATCATTTACATTAGACACTGCTGAATTACGGTGGATGGAGAATAAAGAGGGTGCTGCATTTAAAACAGAAATGATTGAACTTGTTTCCACCAGCATCTTACCCAGAGGATATAGTGCAGATGCCTTTATCCTCAGTCAGGCTTTGTTGCATGTGGACTATGATCTGGAAAGCTTTAATTTATAATACTAGCTAATGTAAGTAGAGAAAAATATCTTTAAGGAATAGAGATGATTAAGTCTGGGGCCACTTCAGTCCATTTGGAAGGGTCTTTATTGCCACCTTTTATCTGGGTGATGTGGAGTAAAGTAGCTGGGCTGTGACAAGCTGCCCTAGTGCTAGCAATTTGTAGCAGGGTGTGACGGTCTGACAAATTATAGTCAATGTCTCAAACATTCGTTGAAGAACTTTGCTAGAGAAAACGGCCTCTGTAAAAATGCTGGAGTTTTGTGAACAGGACAATGTGGCTGGAGGAGAGGGCCCCACGGAGGGTGGGACTGCACTTCTCCAAAGCCTCAATTCCTTATCTTAAGTGACCAGGAGAAGGAGCACAGCATGTGTGCCTGGAGGAGGAGGCCCTGTAGAAGATGGGACTGTGCTTCTATCTTAAGCGGTCATGCCAGCAGAAAAAGAGAGGCAACTCCGCAATGAACCCCCTCCCCCAAAACTCACCAACTGATTCCAGAGAACCCCGGGAATGGGAACTGCGCATGTTGAGACCATCAACTAACACACTATAAAAGAAGGGAGAACGAGTTCTCAGTGCATGCCCTCCGGAACCGGATCTCTACACTGGCTGGACCAACGCTGGACCCAGAACTGGTGAAACCCTTTTCTTGTCTTTTTCTTTCTTTCTTTTTCTCTTTCTCTGTCTCCCTATTTTCCTTCTCTCTTTTCCACAGTCCCTACACTTCATCCTTTTAAATATAAACCGTTGACCAAGTCTGAGACTAGGAGTGGCTCTAGCTGCCCCTAGGCTCCTCTCTGAGAAGGAGTCCAGAAAGCAAGGGGGTCTGCTCTGAACCTCGTGACTCAATGGGAGCGCTCCCCTTCTGATGCATTTCATGTTCCTTTTTCC